TAAGTCTCTGGTCAGACCACTTTTGAATACTGAGAGCAGTTTTGGGCCCTTATCTAAGGAAGAATGTGTTGGCATAGGAGGGGGTCCTGAGGAGGTTTACAAGAATGATCCCAGGAATGAAGGGTTTGTCATTTGAGATGCAGTTGTGGTCTCTGGATCTGTACTTGGAGTTTAGAAGGCTGACGCGTGATATCATTGAAACTTAGAGAATACTGAGAGGTCTGGATAGAGTGGATGTGGGGAAGATATTTCCACTAGCTGTTCAGACTAAAATCAGAGGGCAGGGCCTCACAGTGAAGGATGACCCTTTAGAACCAAGATGAGCAGAATTTCTTCACCCAGACAGTAGTGAATTGGTGGAACTCATTGATGCAGGAGCTGTGGATGTCAAGTTATTGAGTGCTTATTTAAGACAGATAGTTTCTTCATTAGTAAAGGGAACAAGGGTTACAGGGAGAATGAGGTTGAGAAACATATCAGCCATGACTGAAGAGCAGAACAGACTCGAAAGGGCTAAATAGCCTAATTCTGCTCCTGTATTTGTGTGGTCTTCTTTGGATGAAATAAGGTAATTGCTACCCAAGGTATTTATGCAAATTCTTTATAAAAATTAAACAATGCATGTTCCTGACTAAAAGTCCCTTATCAATTTCCATCTACAATTTACATTTGTGAAATGAGATCATTTATGCTTTATAACAAGATGTTCTGAAGCCAAATACAAGGAGAGTTCAGTCATGCAGAGGAAATGAGAATTAACTGTTTGGTCTTTCAAATGGTTCATTCACCAATTTTAAAAAGATGTCATGGTAGCTTTCTGTAGCCCATCAGCAAATCTTGAGGTGCAAAGCGATGGGCATAGGTGTGGGGGTGGGGTAGAGCGAGAGGGCTTTCATCAATCCACAAGCTCCAAAACCACTAACCTGCCTGCCCACAAAAGGTAGTATGGCCAAGGAGCTGGAATGAGGCTTCCAATAAGCTAGAAATTAACTATTAAAAACATAGGAGCAGGAGGAGACTGTTCGGCCCTTCGTGCCTGCTGCACCATTCAGCACGATCATGGCTGATCATCCAACTCAATAGCCTAATCCTGCTTTCTCCTCATAACCTTTGATCCCACTGGCCCCAAGTGCTATATCTAGCTGCCTCTTGAATACATTTAATGTTTTGGCATCAACTACTTCCTGTGGTTATGCATTCCACAGGCTCACCACTCCCTGGGTGAAGAAATGTCTCCTCATCTCTTTCCTAAATGGTCTACCCTGAATCTTCATACAGTGACCCCTAGTTTTGGACACACCCACCCATCAGGAACATCCTTCCTGCATCTACCCTGTCCAGTCCTGTTAGAATTTTAAGTCTCTATGAGATTCCCCCTCATTTGCCTGACCTCTAGCAAAAACAATCCCAACCTAGTCAATCCCTCCTCATACGACAGACCCGCCATCCTTGAAATCTGCCTGGCAAACCTTTGCTGCACTCCCTCGAGAGCAACAGCATCCTTCGTCAGAAAAGGAGACCAAAACTGCACACAATATTCTAGGTGTGGCCTCACCAAGGCCCTGTATAACTGCAACAACACATCCCTGCTCCTATACTCAAAACCTCTCGCAATGAAGGCCAACATACCATTGGCCTTTTTTACCACCTGCTGCACCTGCATGCTTACCTTCAGTGACTGGTGCACAAGGACACCCAGGTCCCGCTGCACACTCTCCTCTCCCAATTTACAGCCATTCACGTAGTATAACCTGCCTGCCTGGTTTTTGCTTTCAAAAGTGAATAACCTCACATGTATCCAAATTATACTGCATCTGCCATTGATCTACCCACTCACCCAACCTGTCAAGATCATGCTGAAGCATCACTGCATTCTTGTCACAGTTCATCCTCCTACCCAACTTGGTATCATCTGCAAACTTTGAGATGTTATAGTTTGTTCCCTCATCCAAACCATTAATATACATTGTGAATAGCTGGGGTCCCAGCACCAATCCCTGTGGCACCCCACTAGCTACTGCCTGCCAATTTGAAAAAGACCCATTAATTCCTCTCTTTGTTTCTTCTCTGCCAACCAATTTTCTATCGCTCTCAATACACTTCCCATAATCCCATGCACTTTAATCCTGCACAATAATCTCTTGTGCGGGAATTTGTCAAATGCTTTCTATAAGTCCAAATATGCCACATCAACTGGCTCGCCCTGTCAACTTGACCAGTTACGTCGTCTTAGAATTCCAACAGATTTGTCAAGCATGATTTCCCATTCATAAATCCATGTTGACTCTGTCTGATCCTGCTGCTTATTTTCCAAATGCTCCACTATAAAGTCCTTGATAATGGATTTCAAAAATTTCCCCACTTCTGATGTTAGGCTTACTGGTCTTTAATTCCCTGTTTTTCTCTACCTCCCTTTTTGAATATTGGAGTGACATTAGCTACACTCCAATCTGCAGGAACTGTTCCAGAGTTTATAGAATCCTGGAAGATGACCACCAATGCATCCACTATTTCTCGAACCACTTCCTTAAGTACACTGGGATGTAGATTATCAGGTCCTGGGGATTTATCCACCTTCAATCCCATCAACATTTCCAGCACCATTTCTCTGCTGATATTGATCTCCCTCAATTCTTCCCTCTCTCTAAATCTGGCATTCTCCAATATTTCTGGTATCTGATTTGTGCCCTTTTTTGCGATGACAGAACGAAAGCATGTATTCAGTTGCTCAGCCATTTCTTTGTCCCCTATTATACATTCCCCCATTTCTGTCTGTAGGGGACCTACATTTATCTTCACCAGACTCTCTCTCTTCACACACCTATTAATGGGTACCCCATCCACTACTGCCAACACTCACTCTCTTCACGCACTGATGCACAGCGGCAGCATTGTGTACCCACCAGCTACAAGATGCACTGCAGGAACTCACCAAGGCTCCTCAGACAGCACTGGCCAACTGTGACTTCTACCACCATGAAGAACAAGGATAGAAGATGCTTGGGATCCCATCACCTGCAAGTTCACCTCCACGCCACACACACCATCCTGATATGGAACTATATCTCCATTCATGCACTGTTTCTGTGCCAAAATCCTGTAGCATCCTCCCTAACAGCACTGTGGGTGTACCTACCATCAGTCTTCCACCTTCAAATGTCAAAGGACAGGTGCAGTTCAAAAACACAACTCAGCACCATCACCTGCTCCAAGGCAGTTAGGACTGAGCTGAGTTGCTTCTCAGCCAATTCTATCCAACCATTATATTCTGAAAATGGACGTAGAGGAAGAATAAACAAGGTGCTCAGGAAAGTGGGTTTGAAATAAAGGATTAAAATATACAAAAATGTTTTCCAGACTTCTTCAACATGGAGCAGAAGGAATTGAGCAAGAGCTTCACATTTTAAACATAGTACAGTACAGTACAGGAACAGGCCCTTCGGTCAGCCATGTTTGTGCTGACCATGATGCTGTGCTAAACTAATCCATCTACCTTTTAAATGTTGCTATGGTATCTGCTTCTACCACCTCACCCGGCTATGCATTCCAGGTACCTATCACCCTCTGTGTAAAAAAAAAAACATTTTTTGGCTTTTTCTTCCTCTATTCAAAGTTATAATGAATGTATTCCTGGAATTCCAGTTTTATCATTAAAAGTAACAGTTTTTATTCCAGCATCTATAATTTGGTTTTGTGATACTAAATTAAAAACATTCAATAACATCTATCTGCTTAGTAAATTATCATATACCTTGCTTAACTGCTGTAGATTCGGCACTGTCTACAGTAACTTTTCTTCTTAAATCTAAACAGTGCACAATGGACCTAGCCCCAGATTTTCTGACATTAATACAAGCTGATGTCTGAACATTATAATATTCTGTCTAGCAAACTATAAAGGGTATGGGAACACAATTAATAGCAATTCGCTGTGGAACTATCAAGAGGTGTAGATAGGGCCAGAAAACCGGTGACGATATTAATAAAACAAAAAATAAACCCTCAGAACCTGGTACAAATCATTGTTTAGATAACATTTTGAACATGTAAGTTTTAGGCACTCAGATCTATCTATTGTGAACAGTTCATGGATTACTTAAAGAATAGTTTCAGGGCTTCACAATACTGTATTAAAAGAGAATGAAAACCCAAACTGAGGTCTTGCATTCTAATTTTCTTCTCATTTGAATCGAGCTCCACATATACCACCATATATTTATTGCCTCATGCAAGTGTTTCTTCGTAACTTTTGGTGTACTTTCTGGAGAAAGGATGTACTGGCACTGGAGGGGGTGCAGAGAAGGTTCACTAGATTGATTCCAGAGTTGACAGGGCTGGCTTATGAGGAAACATTGAGTAGACGGGGACTACACTCGAGGGAATTTAGAAGAATAAGAGGGGATTTTATAGAAGCATTGAAAATTATGAAGGGACTAGATAAGATAGAAGCAGAGAGGTTGTTTCCACTGGTGGATGAGACTAGAACCAAGGGGTATAGCCTCAAACTAAGGGGGAGCAGATTTAGCACTGAGTTGAGGAGGAACTTCTTCACCCAAAGGGTTGTGAATCTGTGGAATTCCCTGCCCAGTGAAGCGGTTGAAGCTACCTCATTGAACGTTTTTAAAGCAAAAATAGATACATTTTTGAACAGTAAGGGAATTAAGGGTTATGGTGAGCGGGCTGGTAAGTGGAGCTGAGTCCATGAAAAGACCAACCATAATCTTATTGAATGGCGGAGCAAGGTCAGTGGGCCTGATGACCTACTCCTGCTCCTGTTTCTCATGTTCTTATAACAGAGTGGGTGGCGGGTGGGGGTGGGGTGAAGAATTAATTTTGATCAGGGCTCGAAACTGACAGTAGTATACTAACCACCTGCTACACACTCTGCCAACTTGTCCTTTCAGTGCATAGATTTGCTCCTGTCCATGGCCTGCTGTTTCTGAAGTTGAATTTCCTAAGTTCATGGAAAGCATCATGACCCATTTCAACTATTTCCTCACCTAGACATCTGCACACACACAGGGTGACAAGAAAGCAATCAGCAGTGGTGGTGAGTTACAGTTCACTCAGGGAGACCAAGCTGATGTCACGAGGCACCTGGTACGGTCTGTGGCTGTAGATAGTAATGGTAGAGGCTCCAAAGTATGTTCCATCTCAGTTAATTGGTATTCTCAGCTGGTGATGTGACACACTGCACCACTGACACTTCCAATAAGCAGAAGCCATCCCTGCTCTCAGAAATAAAAACAGAAAAACGCTCAAAAAACTCAGATGCAAGATTTTTTAAAAAAAAACCCTCGTTTGACTGAGAATGCAGGCTAGGAGTTTTAGCAAATCTAAAATGTGGCTGAGATCTTAATTGGTAAATAAACAAAAGATGGCCCTAGTTGTTGAAGGTTAATAACTGCTGCTCAGAATTGTGGGGAAAGCAACTTCAAATTACTTCCCCTTCCACTAATTAGATGTGTATTTTCATCTAGATTATGGTAAATTAATTAAACAGATTGAAACAATGCTCCATACAGGTTCATGCAAGTATGCTTGAAAGTACTACCAAAGTTTATAACATTTCACCTAGATTTAACACTGAAAATTTGAGAAATCATCTGGATTTACATACATTTTAAGTAAATAGAGAAAGTAGAAAACTTGACTTTACAGATTTATTTATTTTTTTGAATTGAATATTGTTGTGTTTTCAGTGGCAAGTGTGACAGTTAGTGATTTTCCTTCATCTCAGTCCCTTATAATTAATTTACAAAGCAAGTGCACTCAAGGAAGATAAATCTCTGCGGTTACAAAGTGCATCATCGCACAGAAATAAAAGCTCTGCGTCAGTAAGGCAATTTGAGCACATGATTCAAAAACTCATACAAAAAAAATCAATATCTAAAAAAATATAAACCATTAATATTAAAGACACCAAAAAATCCCAGGAGTTGGTTGGTGGAGAGATAAAAAGGAGAGAGAATATTTCCACAGCAAATTAAAACTAGAATTAAACAGAAATTGGTACAGTTATTCTCAATCTCCATAATCCCAACCAAATTAAGGAGGGAATATTTTGAAACCTATTGTCCAGTCCTCCTTAACTCCTCAGTAGGCACACAGCATCCATGGCTTGAAGGATACTGTAAAAAGAGATTAAATGGGTTAGTCAAACTGTCGTCATATTCATTTTGACATTCAACATACTGTTGGATCCAAGGAAAATAGTTTATAAAAACTAGATGTATATTCACTGAACTTGATTCACAATACTGCTAGGGGGTTGGGGAGAGTGGAGGAATCCTCACAAAAGGTAGGTGTTGGACTGGTTCACTTAACAGCACTTCTCCCCTTCAGACAAAACATTGTGCAAGTTTTTGCTGGGTCAGTTTGACTCAGGAGTTCTTTAAAAAAAGAACTGGGACACAAGGGTGGTTCACGTGCCAACTCTACATCCAGCACACTCTGACCTGGTTGGCTCTATTGAAGAAGAATAGAAAGTGGCTGTCTCTGCA